AATCTGCATGTAGCTCTAGCTTTTACATCCGTTAGCTACGCAGCAGATTAGCGACCCATGGCTTGATAATAATCCCGCAAGTTCTTTTTGCTCCAATGCCTTAATCTGGGTACGCATTGCCTGCCTCTACCAACCGGCTTTCGGATTATCTTTGTCTTACAATAATTTGTGTGATCTTTAAACGAAGTGAATAAACTCGGACCGCAGAAACGTAATTTCTACTCACATTTGAAGTTCTCGATCGCGTTAGACATTCATACGCATGTAGTCGATATGATCAACAGTTGAAATTTTCCAATTATCCAGGTTTCGAATAAGTATCGGACAGTGAACCCTCCTCGATCACTTTTTATCGCTGGCTCCTTCCACTTATCGTTTTCTCCAAAGCTAAAAGTGATGCGACTTAATCTGAATTCTCGCTATCAATAATACTATGCATCTGTTCGTTCTTCTCACTGTATAAGTTATTTACCACTTTTTAGGAAGTATGGTGGAGTGGGATTCGCTCAATTTATGCAGCGATCTCATCTCTATATAGGCACCCGGACAACTGAAAAATGAAGGGGGTGCTCCTATTCCGTGTACTTGTCTTCCACATCTTGTGTACCTGTCGGTAGGGCGGGTCGCACTTTTCCAGGTGCGCTCGAGTCGATCCCGAACTTGACCGTGGTTGGATGTGGTGTCGATCGCGTGGAAATCTTCACACTATCGCGTTGGTTTGGGTGGCTCTTTGAATGATTTGTCCTAAATAAATATAGATCTCCTTGTCCTACGGTGATCCTGCGTGTCTCTTAACACATGATCCATCTCGCGATCTTGCACCCCTGCACCGTGCTATGTTTGCTGCGTCCGATCGCAGTTGAATTAATTATTAACTCATTTAGACAAACAGTTTAAGTGCAACACTTGCGTAGACGTGTAGCGCGGCTCCACATTCATCGGGAGACCAAAGATCATGCCCGGAAGGTGTAGTGTGTGTCTTTTAAAGTAAGTTAAACTCTGTGTAATGTTGACCAATTCAATGCAAAAACCAATCACTCTGTATACCTGTGTCTCTGAACCGAAAGCCACGCATCGCCTTTTCAGGAAGATCGTCCTCTTTTCATTTGTGGTCCTCTTCGGATGCCAAGACCTCTTTATCGTGAGCCCCTATTAAAAGTTGGGATTCGTGATCCCAGGTCGAGACCGCGGTTGCAGGTCGGAGATCGCGATCGCAAGTTGAAGATCTTGATTGAAAGTTGGGGTCTTGATTACAAGTTGAGGATCGTGAGCCCGGTCCTGTATCGTCTCATGATGCATTGCGTAATCAAACTGTATCAACCGACATCTGGCGTTGCACCAAGTAGTGGCGATCCTTCACTCTGAGTGGGCGCACTACAGTAATCCACCCTACCTAGCTTGCATCCGCCAATCATAGCCCTATCGATTCGACAGTGGCTTGCAATCCGTGCGGCCTCAAATTCAGCTCAAACGGAAATTCCTTGTGGCCGCTACACCACAATTGTCATGGTTTATTTCCGTGGGGTTATACACCGTTTGAATGTCAGCTTTAATTTTGGCGTCTGGCGCAAGTGACCATTCACAATGGGTCAATACGCAAGTACTTTCTGCCGCTGTCGAATCCAAGTACAGAAATTTATGCCATTGAAAGCTCTTCTCGAAGAATGCAAGAAGTCTTCAATCCTCTTGGTTGCATCCACCTTTTTAAGAGCAAATAAGTGCACGTATCGTGAAGAATAGTCAACAAATTATACTACATATCGATTGCCGCGTCGGTCGTTCGACGTAATGAATTCCTCGATGTCGCTTTAGATCAAATCACCATTTTTGATCAGACGCACTCTCAACCTTTTGCTTCTTCGACTTTTTGTGTTTACTATGCTTTCTTCCGCGCAAGTAATAAATTTAGCCGGGTCGTATCTTTCAGCTGGATTTCTGAACCCTTCTCATCAAAACAATGCGCATTACTGTGTCATATGAGAGGTGTCCTAGCCTCTGATGCGGCAACGACAAATCTGCTACTTCATCCGGAACTCTCACACCGCATGTATGACTCTGTCAATTCAAACGATTGCACCGCTAGATATTTCTTCAATTACTTCTACCTGTACGAAATCATTTTTATGAAATACGTCATGTACATTCATTTGGATCGCTTGGTGCACTTGAACTTCGATTGGGCAACTCTTTAGAAAAAACCACGACCCTTGCCCTCGCTTGGTGCACACAAACTTCGATTGGGCACCTCTCTAGAGAAACACCACGACCCCTCAATATACCGTTGCTGATGATATTGTCCAAAGGCTAATTATCGTAGAAAACCTTCTTTAAGTCAACTATCATCTCCTGTCCGCCGGTTTTCACGTATATATCAATGACGCCTACTCTTGTTACTTGAACCATCGTACTGTTTGCCATGGCTTACTTGATCGAAGTCCATGGATTTCTTCAGCATGTGAACATCTTTTACATAATGCACACATGATCCTCTATTTATTATTCTCGTATTTGATTCCGCACTCCTACCGTTCATGTGAGGATCAGGGTAATTTTGAAACTGAACATTTCAGATTTTTTAGCAATTAGGTTTTTTGTGTAACTCACACGTAATGGCATCCCTATTCCGTGTCTTAGACTTAAATGGATATCACCTTCATGATTACGCAAACTTTTTGCATCTTTTTAGTCTAGCATAGGAACTATGATTGTAAACGAAAACATTGGTATTCGATCAAGACCGCAATGAATGGACCTCGATCAGTCCAAAATTAGCGGTTCTGACAGGTCCCAACAACAAACACGTCTCTAGAAGACGCCGTAGAATTTTTTTTGGGTGAAATTCGATTTAGCATGCCTCTTTTTACCACAAAAGTAGCAGGTACGCGTCACAATGATGCCGATCTGCGCGACTTTTCACTCCCACGAGTACCACGATATTCCCTTTATTGCTGCTGAATGTCGCCTTTTGTGTGTCGACCGACAACCTCGGCCTCCTTTACCTCTACTCTTCAGCTTGTTCACTTTGATCTTGATGTCTATCGCGAACGCCACAAGATCAGCAGCTTGAGATACGGTCCTACCACTGCAGTTTTATCCTCTTCAGCACTGCTGTACCAATGCTGGCAGATGTCGGTTTGAACATGAACCCTAGCAAACGGAGTATAGTGTATTTAGTTGCTCCACCTCGTATACGAGGTACTGGTAGTGCTTGGGCAAGATCTTGGATCGGTCCTTTTCGACTGACATCACGTAAATACTTTTGTGGCTGGAAACGGGATAGTGTACAGCAGTAACCTGCTTTTCATGACAAATTTGATTTTTTCGGCATCGCCGTCCGTAGTCGCACCATTGCATCGAAATAGTTGGGGATGATTCTCGACAATTACATCAAGCGCGAGAATTTTCATCCCTTCAGGACGTGTCCATTACTCGTGAGTTTGATGGAGTCGAGTCGCTGCAGGAACCTAATTTAACCTGATTTAGGCGGCGGCTTAAGGGAGCTGCAACCGTCATAACTTCGATACATGCCGGTTTATCTTGCGATGTATCCCCATTAGACGATAGTACAACTCATTGCGATTGGTGAAGGCGATAAACCCATTGCGCGAGAGCTCTGACGGGGGTGTAGTTGCAGAGTGTTCCCATGAAATTATCTGGTCTCTGTAATGGATCTGGTTCACCACGTTCTGGGCTTGTCGATGGGCCATCCTCGCGATGGGCCCATGCATCAATCCATGCGCTTCCATTAAGAGTCTTAATCATGTTATCTTGGCCCTCGGAATCACCTGTACCATTTGTGCCTTTGATATAATCTCGTGCGTGGTAGATGCTACGCTTGGCACTTGTGTCAGCACCGACGACATTGTGTACGGAAGAGGTCGCTCGAAGAGTTGAATAGGAGCCGTTAGAGCCCGTAACTTGTTGTTCTGTCTAAAAGCCTGGATAGATAAATTGAGAGCTTTGTTTACTTTTTTACCATGTCAGACCATCTTGTGCTCTTCCTACCGTGCCACCTTTTGCGACCTTTCGACCACGAAATTTCGGTGACTTTTTATCGTAACGCTCAGACGCCATCATGCTGCAGGTATAACAAAATTCGTGTCAGTGGCAGTAAGGATGACCAGTGAGTGACACAGGTAAAACTTTAACACAATGTAAATAGATCCCCAGAGGTTGTTGACCAAAAACATAGCAAGAGCTACACAGAAACAAATTTTGAAGGATGAACGAAAAATTCTCACGAATATTGCCAAAGGTGCGTGTAGACATTAATAAATTCAACGCTTGCTTTTTTGGATACGACATTGGAAGATGTTACTGTATGCGGTGGCATTGTTGATCAAAAAGCTTAGTTTATTTGTTTAGAGTTAAGTAACAAAGTTGGTAAGAGGTTGACGGAACAATGGAGTGGTTAACAGAGTTTAAAGACCACGCCAATGCACACCCACGACCATGGTTTTTGTGGTCATGGGTGCGACCCACAACTGGCGGGTGGGCGTGACCTCGTGAGCTTTTTATTTTTAGCTCCATAATTTACTCCGATCTTATTTCACTGTGTAAGAGGCTAATTTGCACAATAGTAATCTGATTTTAAGCCGGGCAAAAGAATTTGTTGGGCGTGGGTGGGCTTTTCCCACCCACACCTAAGCTTTGATCTTCTGGGTGGGTGCGGTAAGCTCCGATTTTGAACGTTGGTCTTCATTGGCTCCCCTTTGATTTTGTTCTGATCTTACATTTTCGGGAGGCTTCCAATTCAACAGATACTACATTTGGAAAATGTGCAAAATTAGAATCAGACAATTTGAAAATAGTGGAGCTCATTTAGAACTTTGAAATAGATTTCACGATATCTTTGCAGGACTGGGCTAACACATTGCTCTCTGTAACTTTCTGGAACGAGTCGAATTCGATTAAAGGACTGCTTAAATCCAATTAACTCGAATCTACGATCAAAAAAACGGCTGCCACGGTTTTAAAACCGGTATCACCTTTTATCAGGCATGCAGTCATCGGGACGTGCTGGCGGCGACGTGGACCGCGCTTTGAGCAGTATTCGGGCGCGTGCCGACCACTTACGCCATACCGTCTCTCGTCTCGAGCACAACTTGGCATGGAATCCGGCTAGCACCTGGTACGAATGCGGGAGTATTGAGCCCAGAGGTCATTTGGCCACGAAAGACTGATGTTGTTCTTAATTGAGTACGTTTTTAGGCCGGAGCTGCTAAGTCAGTACATGGTGATCGCCAAGCAGCTGGAGAACATGAACGACGAGATCCCAGACCTGGTGCAGCACTTTGCGTGCGTGCCGAGGATGTCGACACCTAATTCTGCGGACATTCCGCTGTTGCTGAGAACTCGGGAGGATCCGGAGATGGAGGAGGCAGAGCGACAGCTGCTCGTCGGCAAAGCTCGAGACATAAACACGGAGGCTCTGCAGAAAATGGTGGCAGCTCACAACGACGCGGTCGAGGGCTTGGAAGAGACATTCAACGATATGTCGGACGGACTGCTCAAGGCCATCCGTGTGAACAAGTACGTGGTCAAGTCCAAGCCGCAGAGCACGCAGAGCCAGCAGTTCAAATACATTGAGTCTGGATCGTACGAGTAGCTGACGAGCTGCTGCATGCACCTATGGTCTAGGAAGCTGGCTGTAATATCACGTGTTGTTCTATTTACTCGTTGATCTCGGCTCCATTGAGTCGCTTGAAGAGGAGACGGTCTCTTGTTTCGTGCGTAGAGCAGCAATTGCACTCTCAGCGCTGACGTACGATGACAGCATGGACTCGGTGTACCTCATGCTGTTCCATGCTGGGATAAAGGGCAGACCCAAGCAGTGCAAGTGCAGGTGCGGTACAGAGGCGAATGGAAAGCGGTGGAACCCAAACCTGAAGAGAGCACCAGCGGTGCAGCATTACGATATCAGCATTGGATCCATTACGACCACGAGGGCGAAAAAAAGCAACGGCAGTGGCAGGCACAAACGGGATCTGATACAGTGCAGCGTACCGGCAGTCGGTCTCGTCAATGAAGCCATCGCGTGCCAGTATCTCTTTGCCCGTTGCCAGCATGTGTTCCACTTGTATCAAAGCAATCGCAATGGAGCAAAAAGGGGTCATCCAAAGCAATCGAACCGACAACATTCTGTAGACCAGTTCTACGTACACAGATCCAAGGACGCCGGCGTGACGTCATCTACGCACGAAATGTGCTCGTGCGGGATCACCAAAACGTGCTTTTTGGCTCGCGGGTTGTGGTCCAATATGGCAAAGACCTTGGCATCCTATATACAGGTCACACACACAGCACGTCAGTTGTAAAGCTTTTCGAACACACCAAGGGTTACATCGCCGGCCTGCTCTATCTACGTATACCTCATACACGATCTGATTCCGTTCTCGAAGGACTTTGCGACAGAAAACACAGGCTCGGGCTTGTTTCATGCCTGACTCTTTCTGTTCGTCGAGACGCGAATGTCATTTAAACGAGGGAGTCCGGATGTCCGTCCACGCGTCTGTCTAATGACTGCAGGCATGAATCCACCACTCGTCGACTTTTGTAACTCATCGTTCCAGCCAACCGGTCCTTAACACTCGTCCATGTCGGGTTTTGTCGCTCCGCGCAAGGACGAGCGGTTTTTGACCCTCGCCGACGCGATCGCGGGGGTCGAGCACTTCGCGGAACAGACGCAGCAGCGCCACGTGCGTGTCCAGCAACGGCCGTCGAGTAGTGACGCGGTAGTGCCTGGCGTCTCCTCCCGGCACAGTTGGATCGCTAGTACTGGCGCTTCCGCTTCCACTGGAGCTCCTGACGCTTCCTCGGTCGGATCAAATACCGTCATCCTCGAGTGTGAAAATGCTCCGAGTTGCAAGTGGTTTGTGCGTCTGTTGTTTGTGAAAGGAGAGAAGAAGTGGAAGATCTCGAGCATGAACGTGGATCACCACAAGACCCTCTGTCTGGAACGGAAGCAGGCAGTTGCAACCAAGAGCGGGGACGGGGCTGGAGGCTTTGTAGCACCTGTGGTACCCACCCAGTTGTTAAACAATGTACAGGATCATGAAGGTGCTAATGGAGCAGCAATGTTGGAATTAGCCGCCACTGCTACTGGTGCAGAGGAAGAGGCTGGTGTCATAAATGCGTCCGTGTACGTGGGCATGGTGTTTGGAGACTGGAAAGTGGCGATTGGAGCTGTGCGGGCACTTGCGGCTCAGACGGCACGTCGAACAATTGCTGGAATGCCAGCGTCAATGTTGTGGCGGGGGAAGAGCGTGATGGCACGTCGTGTTGTGTGTCAGAACCACCGTAATTCGAAATGTGGATGGAAAGTGGTGCTGGGCGAGTCTGGTGATGGATCAGAGCGATATACGGTCTTGTCGATGAGCTTGCTGCACTCGAGAGAATGCTTAGAGACCTGTAATTTTAATCTGCGCATGAAAGGGATGCCGGCTGCGATAGAAACGAGTGCTAAAGCTGACAACGTTGCGGACTCGTTGACGCCAGTACCTGGTGGTACACCACTTAGCTCATCGTTGTTACTTGATGATACTTCGAGATACCAATTGACGCACGAAATGCGTTGGAGTACAGGCAAGGAAGCCACGAAAGCGATTAGCGATTTCACACTAGTAGTGCAGCGTAAGCGCTCGATGCTGTGCAAGCGCAACAATGGCGGCAGCAACAAGAAGTATGTCTGTTCGGACGAACAATGCCTTTGGTTTGTGCAGCTTGTGAAAGGATGGAAGTCAAAGAACTGGAAAATATCTGCGATGAACTTGAAACACTCCGATAATTGCACGGGTGCACCGAAGCCGACTGCTCGGCAGCTGGCTGAGATGCGATTCTTTCGCCAAGCCGTGATTACACACTCAAAGTCATCAGGCAAGCTGCTGACCGACAATTTCTTAATGCACTCGGAGTCGGGCATTCATATTCCGCGTGGTATGGCTTACCGTGCACAGCGAATGGTGGTTGCGACATCTACGGACGACCTCACTGAAAGCTACAAGTACATTCCGAGTTTGATCGAGTCGTTTGTGCAGAAGAACCCCGGCTCGATTGCCAATTACGAGAAGGACGCACAAGGTCACTTCATTCGAGCATTCTTCATGCCGAACGCGTCGAGAACGGTATCGATGCACCAGCAGCAGATTTTCGGCATTCACGTACTGCACTACGACACTGTAAGTTATCAGGGCTGTATGGCCTTGTTGGTCACGCGAGATGGCAACCTCACGTATCAGGTTGTGGCGTTCGCATTGCTGCCAGCGAGTGATGTGGATAATATGAAATGGTTTCTCGCAATGGCCAAGCGTGGTGATGTTCGCTTCGAGGGAAACCCCGTCTTCTGCTCGCATAGTGAACACGGTCTCCTTCGAGCTTTGGCGCACGACGCGCATTATGCAAAAATCATGTTTTGCGTTCGAAGCCTACTTGAGGAAATGGCACGTGACAAGGATATTCCCGTGCTTGGGCCGTTGGAAGAAAAGGTATGGGAGCTGCAGCAACAAGATAGCGAGGAAGCTTTTCTTAACGTTTTCAGGGACCTTGAAGCACTCAATGCTGCCGCAGCGGCATTTTTGCGATCTGTGCACCCGAAAAACTGGGCGTGCTATCTGAATCAAACCGTCAGGCTCTACCGCTGGACGAGCACGGGTGCTGACGAGGCGATCGTCGGTTCTGACATTCGGCGCAGCGACGAGGCTCCTTTTGACCTCATGTACACGTTCTTGGCCTTCCTTATGGATGGTATTTTCAAGAAAAGCCAGCTAGCTTCGAAGTTGCTCGCTAACGACGGTCAGTCACCTCTATTTCTCACACCTGGTGCCGACGCAATATACCGTCAGGGAATGCAAGCTGCTGCAGGATACACCGTACGCAGATGCGACGAGCAAGTTGCATTTGCATGGATAACGGGTGCACGTCCGAAAATCACGTACAGGATTGATGTGGCGCTACGTACGTGCACATGCGGCCAGATGTTCCAGCTAGGGTTGCCATGCTGCCACTTGATTGCGGCGTCGATGCATTTAGGCAACGAGGCAGTGATTCTAGATAGCGTCGACCCTGTCTACAAAGCGGCGACGTACGCGGAGGTGCACCGCAATCTTCGCATCGAGATCCCTGTTGCTGGGGACCTGCAGAAGGACCCTTCGTTGCTTCCAGCCATTTCTACACGAAGTGCAAAGTCCAAGAAGCGATCTCAAAGTGCTGTTAGCACCAGTGGCGCCGCATCTTCATCTCTCGTTCATTCATCCACTACGGTGTTAAGTACCGTGTCATCTACTATACCAGTCAGTTGCGAGGATGCATTGTCACCTCCTGGTAAAGCGCCACGGCTGGACCTGAACACGGACGTCGTCAATAGTCTCAGCGAAGTCGTGTGAAAGCGCCAACGACAGCCATCAAGCAGTAAAACACATTTGTCATTCGTTCCTGTGGCTTAGTAAGAAGACACCAAAAAATCAGTCCGCCTCTTCGCATCACTACTTGCTGATACTACTAGTCTTGCACACCACCTTCCTGCTGCCTTCAGCGACTTTGACTGCATGCGCAGTCTTCAGCTTCGTTTTCGTATGCAGCAGCGAGTTGCGTTTGAGCGCCATGCGATGCATGTGCAACGAATTCTTCGCTGGCCGAGCACGGACCAGCATATCCTGACCCATAGGCCTCAGCATTGAGGCAGAAGTAGCTCCGCTAGCTGTAGTAGGTAGTACACCAGCCAAAGAAACGCCATAGTTCTTGGCGAGACAAAACTGCAGGTCCCGTGGCTCTAATACCGTCGAACGTCTGTGTTTGGCCATTTTCCCCGAAAACTCCACCACATCCTGTACAAACTCAGACGCCATGTCCAGCAAAAGCTCCTCTACTGCTGGATGGAAGCAGTACCTGGGGTCAATAGAGCGCAGCAGCTCGCCCAGCTGGCGATGAGGCGTCAAGGCCTTGGTGGTGGTGCTGGCCTTCGCGAACGAGTTACTGGGTGGAGCCAGCGGTTCACAGAGGTGGGAAGAATCGGAGCGAGAGCTTAGGGACATCGAAGAGGTGCGAGGGGACGTCGATGCCATGCCGGGGCTCAGGGGTCCACCACAAGTGGTCGGACACCGTTTCTGATTATCACTCGCCATGTTCACTCACGACTGAACCACTGGTGGTGCGAATTGGTTTTCAGCCAATTAGAGACAAGGAATCACTTGGTCTCGTCGCTCTCACTTGGCTCCTGTATGATGGTCGAGTGATCGATAGTGTACCAGAGACGCAGCTCGAAGGAGGTCGTTTGGAAATAGGTGACGAAATCGAAAGTCGGTTCTGGATCGCGAGCACGTATCGGGCATGACGTCCAAACGACTATTGGACGTGTTGTTGTTGTCGCCTTGTGTAACGTGCGCTTGTGACCCACCTTCGACCGGTACAACAATCCGTGGATCCAAGACCTGGTGGAGGTGTGCTCAAGTGTCGAAAGTACTTTAAAATAGGTCGCTGCGCTCTCTTGGGGAGCTTCGCATTCATCCATCGGACACGACCGGTGGGATTCGTTTTTCGGCTCCCTGTGCAGCAAAACTAGATTGAAGGAAGCTTGGCCGAGACTACAGTCGTGGGCGACAGTGATGCTTTATGGGTATCTGATATCGAAGTAGGAGGGGGGGACGACTGCGGCCCCGTCAGTACTTCGTCACGGAGTCACGGTTTATGGACACTTTTTGCTGGGCGACAGGGAAGACAGCTGTACATATGGCACAAGAAATGAGTGGACATTTCGAGAGTGAACTTGCAACAAGGGGATAGCGGGCTGCAACGGCGTTTCTTGCGGTGTACGGGAGTTGAAAGAGGACCTACGTCATTCGGTACATGTACTTGGCGGTCAGCGCAGCGGTGGTGGTAGTGCTTGCAGCGTACCCGCGGTTGCATCGCTTTACAGGAAGTGCTCCGGGGGAGCACGTCAAACTGTTGGTTTTCGACTGCAATCAGGCTTCAAGTGTTCAATTCACCGAGCGTGACAAAGGGAAGCCACGACTGCAATTTATAGGTAGACTTGGCGGGAACGCAAGTACGGATGAGTGGTAGCGCGCTGTACTACGGCAAGCACTGGCGCAGGTCTGGGATCACAGCATCAGCCATTCTCCTTATCAAGTACGATGGAGTTATTGACTAGCTACCGTGCAACTAACTTGTCTTACAGGCGAGGGTGAAACAACTGCTGCCAAAGAAAGATCATCTTTGCGGCAACAGCAGAGATTGGGTGGCACATATTCTGGGACTGCCCCTGTGCCGTGGCCTTCTGGACAAGTGGTGGACCACTGGACCGAAGAGTAGGCCATGGGCTAGCGAACGGAGCCATATCATTTTGCGCTAGTCGACAGGCTACCAGGATCTCACTGCACCGGCAGGAGAGCATCGCAGACAGCTTCTAGGATGATGCACCGGGGGCGGGAAACAATGGAGCCGTACATGGCACATCATCTCAACGACCTGCCAAGGCCAGCTATGGATGGACAAGAATGCGGTCTTGTTTCGCGGTCGATGCAGCTATAGATGTACAGACAACAATGGGAGGCATGTAGCCGATAGCTACGAGCGGTAACGAGGCGTGTGCATATCGGAGCTGAGACAGCTGCACGAGGGTAACCTTCATTTTTGCCTGCATCGAATTGCTCGTTTAGTCACTAGGAAGGTCCCTCCTTTTGTGGACAGTCAGTCACCGGAACATCATCGCCCATATCCTGTCTCTGGACTTTTTGGGGATCTTGAACATGGTAACAACGTGGAAGTAGGCAATCTGAACCCCTCTGCATACATGCTATGTATTGGCCATTATCTTACGCACGTGTCGAATAGTGGATAAGGTCATGACGGACCGGCACTTATGTCACGAGCATCCATAGCGATAATTAATTCAAATCGTAATCCAGTCCACGACTTTTTTCTCCTCAGCAGAACTTGCTCGTACGAAGCCCTCGGGACTAGATGATCGGGGTCTGATACATCCTTCATTCCAAAACTCACACAGATGTTGTAATGGGGCACCCTAAAGCTTGTACTGATGACAGTACAAGCTACTTATTCTGACGACAGAATAAGGCGGTGCCTCGTAACTTCACGTACACTTGGTACGTGCAGAGGAAGACGGTAAGAAGAAGCGAGTACTTAGGTTAAGTAACGGGGTGAATCGTTACATAACAATTTATAAGAAATCGTTAATAGAATATAACTGTACGAGTTATATTCTCAGAATATTGTCATAAGGACATATATTCTGTAGCACTTACGAGTAGTTCCTAATTGGTTGATATAGGCCATTATATCAACCGACGAAGACGCGCCACGACAGACGCACGCAATGAGCAGATAGTTGATATACACATTTGTATTTAGACATAGTTAAATGAGGATAACAGTGGTTTATTAACAGACATTAACTATGATAAATGCAGTTCTACTTTTTACTTAAACTTAGTACTTGCTTCTTCTACCGTCCTTCTCTGCACGTACGAGTGTACGTGAAGTTACGAGGCACCGCCTTATTCTGTTACCAGAATAAGTAGCTTGTACTGTCACCAGTACAAGCTTCAGGGTGCTCCGTTACACCTGGTAGTACTTCGTAGTCCGTCCAAGGACCACGTTCAAATCTAACACGAATATGTTGGATGATGAAGATTACCAAAGCTTTCACGCTACGCGCGACGGCTACTCCTATTTGAGCGATGTCGAATGGGATGCGGTTGAACGGATGGGTTCAACCATAGGCATCCATGCTGTTAGCGTCCTGCTAGAGGCTCTCAATAGAGATGCCCAACATGCTACTATCGCCAAGTTCACTCAAAATGAACTTGACGCTGAACACGAGAAAGTAGCCTTGCTTCACCAACAAGGCTCTCAACAATCAGAGTTGTTGAGAGAACAGGGTGCTCACCAGTTTGAACTGTTGAGACAGCAGCAGGCTGCTGCTGGCGGGTCGATGCACTCGCGTCGACCTGAGACATTGAAGATTGACATCTCCAAGTATAGGGGAGTCGAAGAGGACTCCCTCTTGAGATGGTTCGTCGAATTGGATGACGCCATAAGGGCGCGTCGCATCGACGAAGGGGATATGCAAGTTGCATTTGCCCAATCAAATCTGACAGGACGTGCCAAGACTTGGGCTTTGGGGCTCAAGTTGCACGACCCATATGCGTTTGGGTCGTTGGAAGTCTTCAAGTCGCGGCTCAGACAAACGTCTGAACCGCCTAGAGCTGAGTTCAGAGCTCGAACCGAACTCTTGAATCTCAAGCAGGGTAAGCGTGATGTGCACGCTTACGCGCAACATATACGACATCTCACGAGTTGTATAAGTTCCAATCCGGTGGATGAACACACGTTGGTTTCGGTGTTCATGCAGGGTCTTGCGGATGGTCCCGTCAAGACTCACCTGTTCCGACTTGAACTAGATTCACTAGAACAAGCCATTTCCATTGCGGAACAGGAAGACTTCAATCTGAGACAGGCTCGCGCCAGCTCGACATCATATCGTCAACCGAGACGATATGACAGCGGAGGTTCAGAGCCGATGGAACTCTGCTATGTAGAGAGCGAGAAGGCTCGCTCTACAGGCTACAAGAAGTTGCAACAGATGTCAAAAGACAGGACACTACGCTTACGAGTGTAGTGCCCCTCGTCGAAGTGTCGAAGTGACGAATGATTGAGTTGTCCCTTCGAGCTCTAGTCGATTGTGGGGCGTCCAACAATTTTGTGCAACGCCAATCGCTAGAAGATGGTCACTTCAAGTTCAGTGAATGTGACACACCTCCTACGAGGATGACGGTACGTCTTGCACAGGCGCATCCGTAACCGTCATGAAGCGTATAGTGAAGATTCACTATACGCTAGAAGATACCCAATATGACGATGCCTTTATCGTATTGGATTTGGATGACAAAAAAATTTGATGTCATCCTTGGAATACCGTGGCTTAGAAGATACGAACCACGGGTTAACTGGCAAAATCGAACAGTAACGATGCCTGCCGCTTGTTCATCAGACGGCCATCTGATGAACGTTTCGGAGCGTCCACAAGCGTGTGGATGTACTATGAGTGAGTGCGATGGCCTCACTTGTGGTACGGTCGTTAGTACGACTGCACGAAGCCTTAGTGTAACAAAAAGTTACACTTCGGAGCAAGATTCTGGCGGCTGCGAGGAAGCACAGGCTGCGCCGAAGGTCCACCACTCGAATAATTCGAGTGGAGGGGGACAAAGATGTATTCCTAGCGGGGAACATCTAGAAGAGAAACAATCTATCGCTCAGGTTAAGCGAAGCGATAATCCTAGATCGACTGGAGAGTATTTCGTAGAGGATCTCGCTGTGGTTGCGCAACCACAGCTAGCGAAAGTTAAGGGAATAAGTCCCGATATTACAAATACGGCGGAAATAAGTTCCCCGAAACCCGAGGGAATAAGTCCCCGGGAAGCCGAAGGAATAAGTCCTTCGAGGCCTGAGTAAATAAGTCCCCAGGAAATGACAGAGACATTGAATGTCCTAGTCAATGACGGATCAAGTGTAGGCGCTTATGCACTTGATCTGATTGCGCCTCCGATGTTGACTTCGGAGATCACTCAGTTGCCAACGCTCGAACATAAAAGGTTATTGCGTGATCTGCGTAGTGGCAAAGTCAAGCAGATCTGCGTACTCGTCGCTGACGACGAGTGTGTAGCCGACATAAGGTCAGCAACAGTGTTTAATGAGAACGAGAGAGTTCTAAGTAGTTCATCGATGGATGAGAGTGGCCTAGGTGAAAAGACACGAATTGAGCGATATGACCCCCAATCGTGGGAATCGCTCAAGGAAAATCCTCTCTATGAAGATTTGGTTGAATTCAAGGATGTATTCCCTGAAACTGTTCCGTGCGAATTACCGAAGGATAAAGGTATTCGGCACGAGGTCGAGCTTAAACCAGGCTCGAAGCACTGTGTCATGAAGCAGTGGCCACTGCCTCGTGAACAAGCACTTGCGATTGACAAGTTCTTTGCCGATCGTTTAGCTGCGGGCCATGTGAGGGAATCAACTTCCCCACATAGATCTCCGACCTTCTGTGTGCGAAAAGCAACAGGAGGGTGGCGGATATTGCATGCATTTAGCAAGTTGAATGCTGCAACGGTACCGGCTCAGACGCCGATACCAAGGAAGGACGTAATCATTGATGGTATGTCAAAGAGTACCATCTTTTCGTCCATGGATTTGATGGATGGCTTCTATCAAATCCTTATGCGGGAACGGGATATACCCTATACCGCAGTTAGCACGCCTAGCGGCATGCTCTGGGAATGGCTAGTAATGCCACAAGGGCTCAGTAATGCCCCTGCCACGTTCAACAGATGTGTATCACATCTGTTGAGACCAGTACGAGAATTCGCGCCGAGTTATTTCGATGGCGTATTCATCCATAGTCGAGCTATGGATGGAAAGTCGGACGTTGAGGTTCACAGGTACCACGTCCAACAGGTTCTTACAATCATGCGAAAGCATCAATTGTATGCTAACCTCAAGAAGTGTATATTTGCAGCAAGCGAAATACCACTTCTTGGGTGCATCGTTGGTAAGAACGGTGTACGTCCTGATCCCGAAAAGATCAAGGCGATCACCGACTGGCCTGTGCCGGTTGATGTCAAAGGTCTTCGAAAATTCCTTGGGCTAGCAGCGTATTTGCATAAGTATTCACACAATCACCCCGAGATGACTGTGCACCTCTCTCGTTTGTTGAAAAGAACGAGAGGTGGTTATGGAACGCTGAATGTCAGCGCTCCTTTGATGGTATCAATCAGAGCTTGATACAATCCCCAGTCCTAGCAATTTCCGATCAGGACAGGCCATTTCATGTGGTCTGTGATGCCAGCGATTTCGCAATCGGCTGTGCATTAATGCAGTACGATCTTGAAGGCGTTGAGCGCGTCGTCTGCTATCAGTCGCGTCAGCTGCAACCAGCTGAGCGGAACTATCCAGTTCAAGACAAGGAACTCCTTGCCATCAAGTATGCACTCGCGAAGTTCAGATTTATCTATTAGGAGATAGACCCTTCATTGTTTACACAGACCATGCGTCGTTACGCACGGCAGTAAAGAGCCCGCACCTTTCACAACGAATTGCGCGGTAGTTGTCATTCTTTGCAGAATACAACTTTACGGTAGAGTACAAACCAGGACGACTTAATGTCGTCGCTGATGCACTCTCACGTCGGCCCGACTTTGAAACAGTCGTGAAACCCAACAGTGAGACAGTCACTGTTGCGGTTATGACGTCCTCAGTACCATCTTCAACGTTGCATGATGATGTGAGGCGGGCGTATGCCCAAGATGGTGAGATTGTGAAGTTGTTGACACATCTCTCACAACCATCTCGAGAATCGTTGAAACGATTGTCGTCTGCGTATCGATCTGAAACCGATCGATACACTACTCGCAACGGGTTACTGTATTATACAGCCGTTTCTGGTGACACACCACGTGTTGTCATTCCAGATGATACTGATCTGCGCTTGCGGATCATGTTCGAGTATCACGATGCTCCTATAGGAGGACATCGTGGCCGGGAGAAAACAAATCTCACGGTGAGTCGAGACTTTTACTGGCCCCGCCAGTATCAGTTGTGCGAAAGTATGTTCGCGCATGCGAAGTCTGTCAACGAGTGAAGTCAAGTCCTTCACTGCGTGCACCTTTACAGCCTCTACAAATCCGGCTGAGTGCTAGGAATCCATCTCAATGGATTTCGTCTTCGGGTTACCCAAAGACGCACGCGGGAATACGGGTATTCTCGTATTTGTTGACAGATTCAACAAAATGGTACACCTTGTGGCTGTACCAGAGTCAATCACAGCAAGTGGCTGTGCTTGTGTCTTTATTGACACCATCTTCCGACTTCATGAGTTGCCCCGTGAACTCTTACCAGACAGAGATCCACGCTTCACTGCTGATCTCTAGCGCTTCGTGTTCAAATCACTCGGAACGCGCTTGAAGATGTCTACATCTGATCATCCAGATTCAGATGGTCAGACAGAACGCGCCAATCGTGTCCTCGAAAAGATACTTCGTGGATACGTACACTCCTTTAAGAGTTGGAGTGAGTTCTTGCCAATGGTAGAGTTTGCCATTAACAACTCGGTGCATGCGTCCACGACACATACACCGTTTACGTGAATGGCTTGCGCCATCCGCGTGTACCTAACTAGAGTGTAACTCTGGTTTAAGGGGGGGGGATTCGCGCGAGCAAACACCGATTCGGTTCACACTCATCACGCTCTGACGATGAGGTCATTGCGTTTGATGCCGATATCGACAACATCGATATCGAAGAAGATGATGCCAGTGAGAGCGAGGAAGCCCTCACTGAAGAAAAGATTGATATCGCTGCAGTACACTCACAGCGCAACGAAGCTAACGAGTCATCAGATGAATTCATACTGGCTCGTGAAACGGTAGTCCGTTTTGTGCAAGACTCCATCGCCGAAGCGGTGGATGAGCAAAAGCAAAACGCTGACAAGAATGGAAGGGCAAACAATATTTTAGTTAATAAAGGTGACTTAGATCTACTGTATACGGTAACCTACCAAAGCATGTAGTGACTAACTTGGGTAGCAGTAAACTACTACCCAAGTACATCGGCCCATTTTGTGTATTGCATCGCCTAGGCAATGCATACACGATCGAGTTGCCACGTAAGATGCGAACGCATCCCTCGTTTAACGTTGGTCGGCTTAAGCCGTACCATCAGTACGCTGCTTCTTCCGATGAAGAACGCTCTTGCGCTCAAGCATCTCGCAGAGAGCCTTGTGCTCCCGATGGTGGCCATCGATACGGGTCTGAAGAGCGGTTATCTCATCCCGAGACCGATCAACAATCACACGAGCTACAGCTCGTCACGAAGAGATGTCAGAGCTCTCTCGTTCTCAAGCTGAGCAAATAAAACTCAGCTCGATGCTTCGAGGCAGTGTCCGCCATTTGGAGACGCCTGTCCCGCTCATGTTCGAGGTCGCCACGTAACCCTTGCATTACGCGATCAAAGAGGCTCTCGGGGATGCACGCTTCCCCATGATAGTCTGGAGAGCGTTTTCCCTCCTCCCTTACCTCCATTAGAGGACTCTCGCGGTTGCCAGCGCTATCTGGTTGAGCAGCTGTTGAACCACCGCGATGTGAACGGACGTCGGACGAGTTACCTCGTCCGGTGGCGCGGCTATACCCCGTCCTGGGATACTTGGGAGCCCCGCTCCCAACTTATGGTTGATGTACTGGGTCTGGTTGAGCAGTACGACACAGCACATCCTGTGCCGCCGAAGGACCGTAGGAGAAAGTCTTCCTGGCACGGTCGCAAAGAAATTTAAGGTTGTCAATCCCTTCTTACATCTCACTAGAGATGCGTACTCGCCACCACGGGCTATTAGGGAGGTAAGCCTCCTTAGGTGTGCGCGCAGAGTTGTTCACACAACAAGGGCACGAGTCTCCCCAGGAAAGACAAGGTAACCCACCCTCCTTAGACAGACGATGCAGCTTATAGCGTGCACCTGTCGGGGTTCTTTCCTCCAACTTATCACGAGCTTTGGTTAGTTTGTCGTTCCAAACGTCACGACCGACATCCTCAAGGTTATGGATGTAGGCGTTCCACGTTTGAAGCAGTGAGGGA